AATAAATAAATAAATAAATAAATAAATAAATAAATAAATAAATAAATAAATAAATAAATAAATAAATAAATAAATAAATAAATAAATAAATAAATAAATAAATAAATAAATAAATAAATAAATAAATAAATAAAAGAATTTGGAATGTAGTATTTGTAGGAACAATAATGTTCAAATGAGGTGCTGTGAGGCGGTGAATGCAACCCGTTTTAAGAAGTTGCATTATTTAAATTTATATATTAAATACATTTCACACATTTGACAAAAAAATAATAATGCAATTTATCTAGAATTACATAAGGAACACAAAAATTGTGAAAGAAATATGGGTTGCCATTTAAAATTTTATACAGGTAGGTGCCCTGGGGGTCAGGAGGTTGTCCCCCTTGATATGTAAATTGACGTGTTTCGCCAAATTTTCATACTATCATTGGTAGAGGCAAAAATTAAGCTCTTCGTTTTCAAATTGGCACCCTTTTTACTTGTAAAAAATAATGCTGTAGAACTAACTCACGTAATAACATCTATACAGGGTGTACCAATAAAAACTCCCAGGTCGGATATTTTGGTAAGTAATAGAGATATTTTAATTCTGTAAAAGTCAGTTCATAGAGCGCTAAGAGAGCTTCAGTTTTAGATATAAATTAATTTTAAATAGGTCAATATGTAGATGGCGCTGCGCTCAATATATTTTTTTCGATGGAAGGATCTTTCTTATATAACGCATCTTGTAACAAATGCATTTTAAGCAGATTTTGTTCTATAAACTAATTCGATAAATTTAGCCATTTTTGATATACAGAGTGGGTCACTCAAAACAGTTTCATCCTGTTTTTCAGCATTAATAATTGGATTTTAAGAAAATGCTAAAAAGGTCGATTTTTATTTCAAATTAAAAACATTTTTACAATGCAGACATCTGTCATGTGTCAACCCCCTCCTTTGCACTTCTCCAACACCTTAATTTTAAATAGGTAATCTACCATGTATGGCACATCATTGAAAAGGTAATTTAATGGAGAATTCAGAAATATTTCTGTATATTGCGTTACTTAAATTTTATCGCCCTCTAGCAAGATAAAAAACTACTACGTATTATAGAGTGTGACACTACAATGTGTAGTATATCATTAAAAAGGTAATTTTATAGGGAATTTAGAAATATGACTGTTCATTGCGATACTTTTAATTGTACCGCCCTCTATCGGGATAAAAAAAAACTGTATGTATTATAAAGTGTGACACCTTATTTGAAAGCAAATTTAGTTACTAATTCAATGCACCACATAACAATAATATATATTATCCTCCATATTGCACTTGCAATAGTTTGAAAAATATTCATGCATTATTTTAAACATTATTGCTAACTTTATTTTGTTGCAAAAGCAATATGGAAATATTTATATTAATGTTATGTGGTGCATTGAATTAGTAATTAAATTAGCTTTCAAATGAAGTGTCACACTTTATAATACATTACAGGTGTTTTATCCCGATAGGGCGCTAAAATTAAAAATATCGCAATAAACTGTCATAAAATAAAATTATCTTTTCAATGATGTGCCGGATATGATACATGGCTTATTTAAAATTAAGGGGTTGGAGAAGTATAAGGGTGGGGGTTGACACATGACAGATGCATGTATTGTAAAAATGTGTTCAATTGGGAATAAAAATCAACTTGTTTTAGCATTTTCTAAAAATCCAATGATTAATGCCGAAAAACAGGATGAAACTATTTTGAGTGACCCACTCTGTATATCAAATATGGCTAGATTTATCGAATTAGTTTATAAAACAAAATCTGCTTAAAAATGCATTTTTACAAGATGCGTTATATAAGAAAGATCCTCCCATCGAAAAAATATATTGAGCGCAGCGCCATCTACCTATTGACCTATTTAAAATTAATTTATATTAAAGCTCTCTTAGCGCTCTATGAACTGGCTTTTACAGAATTAAAATATCTATATTACTTACCAAAATATCGGGCCTGGGAGTTTTTATTGGTACACCCTGTATAACGTTTCAGAACAACTTTCGAGGGAAAGTACTGTAAAACTGCTAGTGTGATGTTTTCCGAACTTACATCCCTTTGTAACCTCTATATGTGCTATAAAAGTCTTGCAGTTGCATGGATATAAGGATTACATTAAAAGTACATCACATGCGAGCTTAAAGAGCCTGGAATTGCAGTGTAATAACGTAGATGGGATGTTTATGAGCTAGCCGGGAGTACTCGTCTAAAGTGTCTTTCGCCCTTTTAATTTTTGAACTAAAATATCTTCAACGTTTTTATTTCGGTATTCGGTATCTATTCTGTCCAGACTATATTTTATGTTATAAACATGGCGGCATTTGTGCCACAATAATTATTACAAACATAATAATTGTTCTATTTTTTTAGAGTTTCAGTATTTACTTATTTAGAAATATTATTAATTTCGGTGTTCGGAAAAATAGTAAATTTTGTAATTTTTGTTCCAAACCTACTTACATTTCATTTATTTTTTCTGGGGATCCCTGTATTACTCCTTTTACAGTGTTTTTCTGGGTATTCATACACCATCCCCGAACACCCAAATTATTTGCTTCTTTTTCAGTGTTCTGTAAAATGCAATATTTAGAGTAAGTTTAGGATTTAATATTTTACCATGTGAATGTCATTTATAAAATTTACTGAAAATATAATCCAAAATAATGTATTGAGAAAAGGGGAATAGAACCACAATATATTAAAGATTTATTATGAATAGTTTTGGTCATCATAATGGAAAAATATGGCAAAGTAGATCTTTATACAGATAATTAACAAGAACTCCTGATTATTACAGAAACTGTAGCATACTGGAGCATAGAGACAACAGGAGAAAATTATTATAGTTGAAATGGTGAAAGTAAGGGGTATATGTTACGGTTAAAGTGTTTACTTGGCTAGTTTATAGACTAGCTGGATAGTACACAAACTATCAGGCTAGTTTGATAGAAAATCATATTTCTACTAAAATAGCTATAAATATTCCCCTCGCCTGTCAACTTTGACATTTTAACCAATCGCATTGCAATTTACGTTATCGTTAGAACCTTAGAACATATTCTAAGGTTAGAACCGATCAGAACCAAATAAATCGACTATTTTCACTGACTATTTCAAATCGACTATCCATGCCTGTTGACAGCAACTCGCATACTTTATACCTATTATAGGTATAATATTCAATAACGGCTACTGTCAAACATATTTATTTTCAGAGTACAAGCTAATATCTCGTTGAGCCTTTTAAAATGAACCGAAAAAAAAAAGTTATTTTATTGTGTATTTATTATATTTAAGTTAAATTTAGGGCTCTAGAAATAACTCGTCCTTAATAAATTAGCGGCTATTTCTATTGTTAGTAAAGCTCTCAGACTATTCAGATGTTATGCGTTTGAATGTTGATTAAGCAGTGAGTGAAGCGGATGAACTGGACGAGCGAGCTTGAGGATGACGTAATAATTTTTAACCAATGAGGAATGGCTGACGTGCATGATGTATTTATCTGTTAGAGAACTTCCTTACCGGCTGAGATAGTACAAGCTACAGGGACGGTTGAAAGGGTTAATATTGTTCGGCAATCAGTAATACTGAATTTAATGTAATGTTGAATGTATTTCAACACTAGTAAATATACACACTATACACAAGATATACAATAAAAACCCAAAGTACATCACCCAGGTACCTTCATAATTTATTAATTCCATTTTGTTAAAGAAAAGTGGCATTCTTATTAAATTTAAAATCTTTTATTTAACGAAAAATTTTTTAGGTAATTAAATCTTATCTATAATGCTTAATAAATAAAAGCTATATTTCTGTTCGCGGGGTCTCTAATATTTTACATGTACAAGCCCAATAATCAGAAAAGATAAAAAGTTATCCAATGAGAATTCGACAAAAAAATCTAATACTTATTAAAACAGTTAACACGCATATCTTAATAACATTATCTCCGATTTCGACATGATATCGACACAACATTCAGAGGATTTCTCAAGACACGTAATAAATTTACCACCTTTTTTATCCACTCAAATTCGTTCCCACCGGAGTTACGACAAATTGAAGTCACAGTCATTAAAACGGGTATAAATACTCGTTTCCTAGGAACTCGAGATTCATTATTATTTTAAATCCAGTCTAATTCAGTTGCTTATCCAATTTAGTTATATTTCAATTTCAGTATTTAGTACTTTTCCTAAATAGACGCTCTTCCTAACCGACGCCTATCCTACCCTAGCTACTATCGACGCTCCTACGTCGCGTCGTTCTAAGTCCCTATGACCGATCTCCCGAACGCTTTCACGTCCCAACGCTCAACGTCCCTCCGCCCTACTTTCCTATCTCTCTACGTCCCGACGACCTATCTCCTGAACGCTGTCACATCCTGACGATCAACGAACCACCGCTTGTCGCCCCGTAAACCTCCCTAAATATTTTCTTTATAATACCCGTGACGACACCCTTCGTCGCTCAGCACCACCTAAGTATTTCCTACCTTATATCCGTCCCGACGTAGTACCGCAATAAATACCTTCCTGTCTGCCACGACGCTTGACGTCCCGACGAAAGGCGACGCTCAGCGCTGTAACATACCCAAAATCGACGCCGTCACAACGCTAAATAAAATTAGTACATAATGTCTAGTTTAGACGAACCAAATGTCTGTATTTTCAATGGTGAGAAGAAAAGGTAAATGTTACTTTCTTTGAGATAAAACCAGGGTTTCGTTTTGAATAAGGACCTTACATTTTCTTCAAAATATTATCACTAACCCAATAAACCCCATGTCCTTCGGGCATTCACCCTGAAAAAGACAGTAGTAAAATTAACATATGTGTTTAGGTGGGTGAATTTGGGTCATTTCAATAGAAATTATGTACACAAATCTAAACAAACCTAGATGGTAAAATTTAATAGTAAGGTAACAAACCTGGTGAAATGACACTGTTCGCTAGCTCAAGGGTGGCACATGTACTAGCCACACATCCAACTAGGATTGTGAACATCAACACAGTAAATTAACCAACTGGCGAATTGGTGCTAGTCGTTTAACTCCCGGGATTCGTTTTTCCCTTAGGAAAACACGTTCTCTGCTAAATGAAAATTAAATATATTTCAAAACAATCAGTTGGGGCAATAACGATTTCTGAATGTGACTATAGGGAGCTAAATGTGACCACTCAAAATGCATTTAACTATGTATGTAGCTATTTAATCAAAAAATCATTACATATTCACTCTTGCGAAATTTGCGTAAATTTCTCAGAAGAATACAATTTCCTTAACAATTCTAACTTGTTAGCGCATTTTAACGCATACGACGCTGAAGAAAAGGTGTTTGGCAATTTAAAATCTCCCAGCGAAAAATTCTCTTTTATATTTTCAAATTCGAAAAAATATTTATATCTCTATTTGATAGTTTGTCAACTAAGCTTGGAATTTTCAACGCATACCTTTTTGAGATGAGCAAAATAGAATTTGGTCTTCCTTGCCAACAATTTGCGAAAATGTACACTATTAAATTATTTATAAGACTCAGAATTTTTTATACTCTTAAATATACAAACAGAGATTTGAAATCCTCGAAAAAGGCAGACAAAACCAAAAGAAAAATTAAAATGTCCCATTTATAAATATTATTGATTTTTTTTCATCATATTTTTGACTGCTTTATAAAAAAAAGTTATTTTTCTTTGTAGTTTTATTTCTTAACTATTCCAATGGTCCAACTAACGTTTTTTCATAATCACAAAAAATAAATTATTATCATGGTCCAACAAAAGCGCACCTTAAGCCGAAACCGGCATCGCCTTTGTGAGGGAGCCGGTACAGATGCCGCTGCGTTCATTCGTATCTGGTCTAGGTAATCTGTGCCATGGGTACAGCACGTCACGATGAGGACAGTGCCCCGCTTGTGACGTATAATCCATCGCATGTGTTCATCTCTTGCTAAGCGATATTGTCGTTGTCCTTGTTGTTCGCATCATAATAAGAGAGAAAACAACAGAGGCACACATTTACTGTGCCCTGTGCCTATCTTCAACTTAATTTCGGAATTCTCGGAACGTTGCTCAACGCCCGGTCGTCCAGTGTCGTGCCAACGCGGTTTGCGCTGAATATTAGATAAAATAATAATAGGCATTGAGGAAAATATAAAATATATGTTATTTTTTTTTTGTTTATTATACTAGGGCACGTGCCCAAGTGCCCTTACGGGCAAACCGCCACTGGTATTGAATATAAATTTAATTTCAACACTCTATCTTTAATTTTGCTTACTAAGAAGAAAGTCATTCTTAGACCGGTTTCATCCTTATTAGGGCTCTTCAGCAAGAAAATGCAAGGCAACACATTCACTAGTATACATTAATGTTGGTTACGAAGAGAAAAGTATTGAAGGAGTGAAAATGGTGTCGCTGTCTGTTCCTAGTAAACAAAATCAAAGGGCGCTTGTAGTCAAAGTTAGAAAACTAGATGGAATCAAAAAGCCAGGCTGGCTGGCATTTTTATTTTATTTTTTTTAAGCTATTGCATAGCTTTTATCGCCGGCTTTGAGCGCGGCGACCGAATCAAGAAATTTCGTAACGTCCGTAACGAAAAAAAAAAAAAACTAACACCCCCCACTCCGACCGGCACAGCGGTGCGGCGTTAAACAATATTAACTTCTCATTTATTCAATAAAAGAAAATCGAAAACGCAAAAAAGCGAAAAATCGAAAAATAGAAAGATCGAAAAATCGTAAAATCTAAAAATTGTAAAATCGAAAAAGAAATTCCGTAACGAAAATAAACCTAACGCCCCCCCACTCCGACCGGAACAGCGCTGCGGCGTTGAAAGCCGTGCATCGTCTAACGTCGTTTCAGTTCGGCAGACTTCGGCACGGTGTTTGTGAGCGTGCGACTAGATGTATGCGTGTAGACTAGCTGCTAACTGCTCATAACTGATTCTATCTCTTTAAGACACAATTTCGGAAGAACTGAATTTGAAAATGAACAATGATCCACAAGAATCCACAACAAAATATGGGACCACCATTGACGCGGTATTTTCCAGATATTTAGAGGATATCAAGGCTCAAACTTATGTTTCTTATTTCACTTACTATAAACCTATAGTTTCAATGATAAAAATTCCTGAATAACCTACAGTATTGTAAGATAATAAACATATTTTAAACAATATTAACTTCTCATTTATTTAATAAAAGAAAAAATTGTTTTCTTATCGGTCACCACGCTCAAAAAGTGTAACTTGAATTAATATCAAAGAAAAAACTTGAATTAATATCAAAGAAAAAACTTGAATTAATATCAAAGAAAAAAAATACTGCATAAATAAAAGAAATAAATAATTATAATTGCATAAGTTGATAAAAAATGCTATGCAATAGCTTTACCGCGGCAGTCCCTGAGTGCCACATGTATTTTTTTAATTTAAATTAAGGAGGTCCTTTCGCCACCAATGTTAAATAAAAAATATTAGATTATGACTAAAATTAATTTTTTTCTAATAGTAGATGTCCTTATTTATCTAATAGTGAACTTTTAACTATACCTTACCGTGC